TGGTGCTATTCCAAAGCCGTCTTAGCGTTGAAGTAGCACCGTCATTTAAAATGCTCTACATATGGAGGTCGCCATTTTGTGCCGTTTACTTTTAGAAATTTTATTGGAACTCTTTTAGTTCACAGTAAAATTCCTCTTTTTAATACAATAAAAATAAATATTTAAGTATATTAGGGTGGCCCAAAAAATCGAATATTTTTTTTTATTTAAGTCTCCTATGAAAATATGTTAGTTTATCATGTTTAAGAGCCCCCTGCAAAGGACAGCTCAAAAAATTTTTTTAAAGGGTCGCTCCGAATTTTTGAAAAATTCCAAAATCGTCGAAAATCGGATTTTTTTGTTTTAATTTTTTTTTCATTATTCCATTTTTTTTTCTATAAAAAAAAAATCATAAAGATCCTGAAAATTTCAAGTCGAAATTTTAATATTGAAAGGTCACTCCGAATTTTTCTAAGGTTCCAAGTCGGGTACTTTATATCTTTATATCCCTTACCGTCAAGCAGTTGGTTCGCTGATGTATTTAGCCGTTTCTACACGACCTGATTTATCCTATGCCGTGAGTGCCCTAAGCCAGTTTAATTGCAACCCAGGTCCAGTTCATTGGGTAGCCGTAAAACGTGTCTTAAGATATTTAAGAAAAACTGATTATTTTGTACTTATTTTCAAAAGCACATACATCATTGCATGGCTATGTAGATGCCGACTGGGGACGAGATCCAAACGATAGAAGATCGTACACAGGTTTTGTGTACTTTTTAGGTGGAGCTGCTGTTACATGGGAAGCTCGAAAACAAAAATCAGTAGCACTATCCAGAGTACGGAATCAGAGTATATGGCGCTATCTGAGGCAGCAAAAGAGGTAGTATTCTTAAGAAATTTTCTGAAAGAAGTTGGTTTTTCAAAATATTTAGATCGTCCGTCAATCAATCGTCTATTGTGACAATCAGGGAGCCAGAAAATTAACACAAAACCAAGTCCATCATTCACGAACCAAACATATCGACATCCGACACCATTATGTACGAGAAGTATATGACAGGAAAGAAATCGAAATTGAATATATCCCGACACAGAGTATGGTGGCTGACATTTTTACAAAGTCCCTTTACAAGCCAAGCTTTTAAACTCACGTCGGATCACTAGGAGTTAGGTTTTTAGATAACCTCTCATTAAGAGGGGGTTTTAGAGTTCATGAGAGTTATCATCTTAACTACTTACCTTTATGCATTTACTAGTCTACTAGAATATTGAAGTTGTCAATTTAATTTTTATATAGCTTGTCAAATAAACTGTGTTACGGAAGTTCCTAGTCTTTCTTCTGCGTATACTACGTATACCCAATAATAACAGGATGTTAATATACATTTACTGTAGTATTACAATTACACAAGGTAAAAAAGTAAAACCGCACAAAATCGAAGCTTCGTTACTACTTATTCTCTCACAACCTCCGTCCATGTAAACGGGTGAATTTACCGCCTTTGCAGATTCCTTTAGTGATTGAAATCGAGAATGTCTATTCCTTGCTGATGAGTCCTAATAAGGACAAAAACGGTCCAAGAATAACGTTCTCTTTGGTAAGCAAGCAAAGTTTGAATGTTTAAATATGAATTTTTTCTCTTTGTTGTTTTTCTTTGGATATAATTCAATGTCTGTTGCGGAATTAGCCAAAGGAGTAGTTGTTTTCCGAAGGGAATCGGTCGTTCTTTTTATTTTTTAATACATGGAATAGAGAATTTCTTGTTTTCACTTATTTTACGTTTTAGTCACATTTAAGTTTGGATTTTATTTTCGTTTTTTAATAAAATATTTGATTAGATGTTTCTGATAATAGTTTTAAATTTACTAAAGAATGTGCCCATAATCTCTAAGTTATTTTAATTGATGATTCTTAATGTACGCTCAAGTGCATGCCATAGTACTGTGGAACGATATTTCAAATACATTTGAATTCCTTAGTTTTGCAGTTTTTATACGAAATAAAATACTTTCAAGATCTGAGCAATCATTATTCCCATCTAATAATTTACATACAAAATATATATTTTTTAATACGAAAGTTCTGTTTAAATCACGTGTTTCCAGATTTATTTGCTATAAAATATATTACAGCCTTGGATTGTTGTATTCATTTCATATGAAATAATGGTATTTTAAATATCTTTTGTTTTTATTAAATTTTAAATAGTTTCAAACAAGACAAATTTTTTTTTTATTTTTAGAAATCTCATAAATCCATAAAAAGGAAAATTAAAATACTATTACGAATTTTTATGGTTATTAGTTCTATTGTGTAATTAATTCCTTAATCTTCTCGAATTATGTTTAAATGTGTTAGCCTATTCTGTACACTTCAATATGCAATCATTGCGCAAGCGCGTGGGTCGTTCTTTTTAAAAGATGACCGCCTTCAATTCTACGTGCCTGATGAAAATGACATTTTCTATCTCCTCTAATCCATATCTATGGATGAATCTTAGACTAGGTAATAAAGAGAGGACGCGTAACAAGTATAAAAGTTATGCTTTTGTAGTAATTCAGAGTGAGGTGTACCTATTAGAGGATAAATGCCATCAGTTTTCAGGCTTAGCAGTTTTAAAAATCGTCTTTGAATTGCTTCTATTCGATCTATATGATACTGATAAAAGGGGCTCCACACAACTGAAGCATATTCTAACTTTGATCTTATAAAAGCATAAAATAGAGTTTTTAAGGTAGAGGTTTCTTTGAAATCACTACTGCTACGTGCAATTAATCCGTACATTCGATAGGAGGAGGATACAACATTATCAATATGCTTATTAAATGATAGTGCAGTGTCAAACGTGACGCCAAGATCAGTAAATGTTTTCGGTCGCTCAAGAGCAACGTTTTCTATTGAATAATTAAATATTAGGATATTCGTTTTTAAACTGTACGACATAACTTTACATTTATCTGGGTTTAGTGACAAGTTATTTTGATAACACCATTCAACAATCCGTGTTAGGTTTGCTGAAAGGTTCTCGCAATCACCTATCTTCTCTACGAGGCAGTATAGTTTTAGATCATCAGCATACAAAAGCAAATTTACATTTATAACATCTGCAATATCATTAATGAACATAATAAAAAGGAGGGGTCCTAGATTCGACCCTTGTGGAACACCAGAAGAAGCACTATATTCAGCAGACCTAAAACCATTAAGCTGAACATATTGCTTTCGATCCCATAGATAGGATTGAAATAGTGAAATTAAAGAAGGAGATAATCCAAAAGCTACAAGTTTGTTAAGCAGAATGCCATGATCAAGTCTGTCGAAGGCCTTAGAAAAGTCTGTGTAAATAACATCAGTTTGGGCTCTGTTATCAATAGATTCAGCAATATATTGGGTAACGGTCAGGAGGTTGGTGACTGTTGAACGACTTTTCATGAAACCATGTTGATTTATACTTATATTACAACTTACATGACGATATATAACTCGCTCTAACAGGATTTCAAAAACCTTTGCAAAGTTGCATATAATAGAGATAGGTCGATAATTTGAAATATCTTGTCTATCTCCTTTCTTGAAAATGGGACAGACCTTCGAGGATTTCCAGACCTCTGGTATTGTAGCCGATTTTAAACAAATATTAATTAGTATGGAGAGGGGACGAGCAAGCACAGAAGAACAATCTTTTAGGACAAAAGCTGGAATATCGTCTGATCCGGTGGTCTTTTTTGGCTTAAGTGATCTTAGTGCCTCATATACTTCCTTTTCACTGAAGCTTGTAATATTTAAAAAGTGATTATTATTTGTCCCAGAATTGGGTTGAAAAGGGGAAGAAATAGTATAGGACTGTTTAAAAAGATTTGCAAAACCATTTAGAATATTAGAATACTAAACACATAAGACAATATTAACTTCTCGATGACCGATTTTGTTAAAGATTTTATCGGAAACATACAAACTTGACTTCCAATTCTGAGACTGCCATCTCGATGTTGATACCACGGTGTCAGAATCGGAAGTCCAACGTTCAACTCTTTTCGCCATATTTGAATATGGCGCCACGTCAGCGTTCTTGGCCTGCCTGCAGCGCAGGTAGATCGTTATTCGTCATTGTCATTGGCTGATTGGAGCCTGGCACGCGCGCATCGAGTCGTGTTCTTCCTCTAGCTGCCTTCTTCTCGGGACAGCCATTGTATAATATTTTTTAACAAAGTAGGTCCTATAGACACCTTTAAAACATCTTTTGGATATTAGCGTAGATCTTCAAAACGTCACGAACGTCGTCAACAAACGTATTTAATATGTCTTTAAAACGTATCTGTGCTATCTGGATAGTGTCATTCTTTATTAATTAAAAATATGTCTTTTTGTAATACATGCTTTATATTTTATTTTGCGAAAAAAAAACTCATTTTATTATGTAAACGATTTCATTTAGTTTATTTCTACATATTTTGTTCTTGCATCTTATTTATTGTTACTTATTTTAAATTTTACTCTTTGAACTTGCTTTATACCTAAAAAGATCAATGAAGTAGTAATAACATAAATACAAGTTTGTTTTTTTTATTTCCAACATGTTACGCCTTTGGTCAAATAGCGTTGGTGTCAGAATGGAACAAGATTTTCAACAACATTATGAGTCCTCTAGTCTACCTAGTCTAAGGGATGAATCAAGTATTTTCGCTGTCATATTGGCCTCGTGAAGTGTTTCCAACGTTTAAAAGTTAATTTTCCCTGCACGTTAAGTTTAAATTGTATTTGCTCTTAGTGTTTTCGTGTTACTCCGTTGACAATACTACCGTACTAAGCGCAGAAGCGGTAACTAACAGTTGCCGCTTAGTACGGCAAAATAGAGATACTAGAAATGACGTCATTGTTTTCTTATCATAAAAATAGTTTAGTAATATCTATAATCAGCTTGTAAATAAATATAATCCTTTCCATCTAAGATTTAAATAGTCAAATCAAAGTGTAGCAAGGTTATAAAATCACATTTATTCAAGATCATTATTTGTTTTAGACTAATCCAGATCAAAAATTACAATGGACAATGTTGAATTGGATCCATCCAGGATCTATGGGAAGACTGAAAGATTTTTATGAGTAAGTAATTCGATAAAAAAAAACAAAACAAAAAATATGCACCAATTGTTTTTAGGGCTGATAATGACAATTTTGCCAATTTACGAGACAATTATCATCATTGGTGGCTCACGCTCACTTGGGATTATTGTGACTCTTTTAAAAAGCAGTCTGATGATTCGCAATATAGCTCGAACTATGTACAAAATGTAAAACGAAAAAAGGGAGCTACTAGCAGAAAAAGAAATGTGAAAAAAGTGAAATCTGAAAGTTCTGATGAAAATAGTGATAATGATGATACACATGAAATCAATCTATCACTGAATCAAGAAAGTTGTAAAAGAAAGCTGCAAAATAAAGTAACTGATATTTGTATTGCAGAAAATGATAAATCAAATTTAGTGGAATATAAAGTAGAATGTAGCAAGGAAGGCGGCAGTTGTAATAAAGAAACTAATAAAAACAAAGAAATATATAATTTTCAATATAGTGATAGCTCAGATGCTACTGTAGAATACAATGTTGACGCGCCTACCCATTTAGCTTTGGATTCTTCAGCCACAACTGAAACCAGTTTTAATAAAAAATTAGATGTTGATGATGATGAAAACATTCTCTTGAATATCATTGAAGGTGTTAACAGGAAAAATTCTTCTGAAATCTTAGATAGTCAATCTCAACTCGAACTGAAGAAAGAAGAATTGTATTCTCAAATGTTTGAAGACATTCCTAAATCTGAAATTCCAAGCCCAGACACATCAGACGATTTTCTTCGTTCTCTAATTAATATTTAGATAAATTGGAACAATACAAAATTAAACCAAAAACAATGAGATAAAATTATTGTTCTAGGAAAAATAAAACAAAATTGTTTTAACTCTAGAATATTGGCCAGTCTTAAATTTTACGAGGCTTCTGAGTACCTGTTTGTTTTGTCTTAGATTAGTCAATGAGGATGCATTTATTGCATATTTTATCAGTATATTTCCAGTATTAAAGTTTTACAGCTGGTTGCAAGAACGACCGTTAAATATTTATTTATTAACGCTTATGATCCATTAAAAATGCATTCCTATCCTCGATAGCTATTGAACGTCATAGATCTGGCAACAGGGCACATATGCCTCAATATGATCAATTATATACATCGTTCTAGAGATTGCACACCCATATTTAAATAGTACTACTAAAAGCGCCTTTCCAAGTGTTCACTGAATAGAATAGTTCTGGCCCAAACGTGTTTTAAAATAAAATTTCAGTATTTGAATATTTAGAAACAAAAAAGACATGATAATATGTTAGGTGTTTTAAAAGCATATGTTTTTGTGTTGTAAAGTTGAGTTTCCATAGTCATAATATTAAGAGATCAAAACAATTTTATAACAGTGAAACAGTAACAAAGCCTACACAACATAGATATTAATAAAAATCAAATCACAAACTGAGGTATATTAGGCATATTAGGTGAATACTTAGGCCATAAAACAAACAAAAAACAGACACTTATTATAATAATAATCATTATTACTTATAAAGAACAAAGTTTTCTTGATTACTGAATAAAATTAATTTTATAGATTGCTTCCTTATTATAATGGACATTTTAATTTCATAGCAACATCCTACACTAGTTTCAATTAACAGTATAAACTATCTGTATCTGTAAGGTGGGTTCCTCCACAACACTCATAAGACCCATTGTGCATCCTCCAGGGGCATATAGAACCTGCCTCTCAACTTGTCAAAACCTGCTGGTTGTCTGCCGCTGAGACTGTTTAGAGACATTCGTATCTTTCCAGCTCATAAAAGTTCTGTTATCAACCCATCAAAAACCTCATGGTTGACGCTGAGGGGTGTCTACAAACAGCCATCTTTTCAACTAATCAAATTCCTGCAGGTTATTAACTCATCAAAAACCTGCTGGTTTACGCTGAGGGGTGTCTACAGACTACAGACATTGATCTTCTCAGATCGTCAAAGTCCTGCAGATTATTAACGTCATCAAGAGGTGCCTCTTAGATGCCTCATTTTAAAGTGGCCAATTGGTGTGCTTCTATACCAGCCCGATGGTAAATGCCCGGGTGAAGTCATTCTATCCGCCCTCTCCACAGGGTAAGCAATACAAACCATTAATAACTATCTATAAAATGTACATTTAAATCTAATCATCTTAATGACAAGAGAACACTATGCAGAGGTGGACAGTACAATTGTAAAGTGTACTCAAAATTGTACTTAAGTACTCAAAGTACTCTATAGTAGGTACTCGTGAGTACTTTAATCCTGATGGGACTCGGTACTTAAAAAATTTTGAGTACTTGATGTTTTAGAGTACAGTACTTGATTCCTACAGCTGACGAGTAATGAGTATGAGTACCAATGCGCGCACAGGCTCAGGCAAGACTCAGCGTGTCTTTTTTGTTGTGTCTTGCAGAACTACACTGCTTACTATTTTTATATTCAGTAATAGGTACTCGTGACTACTTTAATACTGATGGGACTCAGTACTTGAAACATTTTGAGTACTTGATGTTTTAGAGTACTCAGTACTTCTGATTCTTACAGCTGACGAGTAATGAGTACGAGTACCAATACGCGCACAGACCCAGGCAAGCCTCAGTGTGTCTTGTTTGTTTTGTCTTACAGAATTACACTGCACTATTTTTATTATTATTTTACATTTTATGTTTTGCCAGACAGTTTGTACAGCACATATGTGTGGCGTGAATTGTTAGGATCACGAAGTGTTTTTTGGTAAGTTGGTGTTTGGTGCTGACGGTCCAAAAATGTAATGATTATAAATACGAATCCATTTGGTATTGAAAGATTAATTATTATTCACAGTATTAAAAAAATCAGAAAAAAATATTCACAATCTTAACATCAAAATTCAAAAGTATGTAGGTTACAATAAGAACAAGAGTTACAAGCTAATATAAGAGAAAATGATTCTTAATTTTACTTACAGTACAATTAAAGATGTCTAAATTACTGCACATTTCGTTAAAACATTCACACATTACATAAATGGGAGGCAAAAAGTTCATGCAGACCTTGCCGATAATCGAGGAACATGAAAGTTAATCCTTTCTAATACGGCGGAATCATCAATTTTATCAGTTAAATAGAGATATTACCGAGTTACAAGAACGGCGAGCAAAAGAGAATAATTATGAGGCATACCGATTGCAGGATAGACACCATCAATTTTGAAACTTAACAGTTTTAAAAATCGCCTTCGTAATTGTTCTAAGTTGTTAATATGAAGTTGATAAAATGGATTCGAAACTATAGATGACTTTACGAATGCATAGTAGAGGGTAGTGAGTGTAGACAGATTAATTAAGTCTCGACTAACAAATCTGTAAAGATGAGAAGCAGCGGATACAATAGTATTAATGTGCGGACCAAAAGATAATTCTCTTTCAAACGTAACACCTCAATCTGTAATAGTAGTTGGTCTTTGGAGGATTCTGTTGTTAATGATGTAATCAAATATATGATTGGCACTAAGACCCTATGACATGACAAAACATTTCGCGGCATTAAGCGATAAATTGTTTCTTAGACACCAGTATTCAACATATTAGCTTGAAGGCGTTCGCAATCGGATCTGTGAGCAATGGTCAAACACAATTTTAGATCGTCGGCATATAACATACAATTAACATCAATTATATCAGTGATATCGTTAATAAATAATAAAATAATAAAGGGTCCAGATTCGAACCCTGTCGCACTCCTGATTTTGCGATATACTCAACTGATTTGAAGCCATTTCTATACACGTACTATTTACAGCATTAAAGATAAGATGTAAATAGTTTTAGGAGGGAATCATGAAATCCGAATAATTTTAATTTAGTGCAATGTATCAAACGCCTTAGTAAAATCTGTGTAGGTATACGACGTCCGTTTGCTTCTTACTGTCAATATTCTCGGCAATGATTTATATTACGTTAACACCTAAAAGGTGGGCGCGCCGCAGCTTGAGTATGTCTTCTCTAGACCTTGATTATTCAATCTATTACTCGAGATTCATTTTTCATCATTATATGGCCACTACTGAAATACTATTGGAATGAGGACAAACTTTAAATACACGTTTTTTATGGAGAATTTAATTGTCTTCAGTTTTACATAACAATCATTTTTAACAGAAGACCAATAAAAAATGAGTCGAACAGAAGACGTCTGTACCTAATTTGCACAACGCAGTAGCACCGCTCTGACGTAATTACTTATTATATCTGATCTAGAAGAGAAAAACAAAAACCCACTGCCGCTTTGTTTTATTAAAAACACTCATTGTTGAAATTCTGGATGTGGCTGATTTCAACTTCTTTTTTCTGGTCACCGGAGTATCCGCTCAGAAAAGAGCGCACAGTCATATAAGCAAACAAGAAATATCCGCACTTGGACACAACCTCACGTGTATGAAAGCGCACAGGGAAAAAAGCAAAAGGTGATTTTTCGTTTTGGTTTTCTTTAAATATTCTTCTAATGAATAATTTTAAAAAATATTCCATGTTACTGAATTTACGGTGGAATTTAGATTGGTATTAGCATATTTTTTGGGGTTGATATTCTTGTTTTTCTTTTGACGGCACCCTTAAACCTGAATGACGTCCATTGGGTTTCCTTTATAGCTGTGCATTTTTTGGTTTTTTTTTTTTTTCGTAAAATATCAGGTGGTTTGTGTTTTTTATAGTGAATTACACAATACTCGTTTTGATTCTGTTCCGCGCTAATTTTAAGACAGATAAGATATGTTCATTTTCTCACTAATTAGATTTTGGGCAGGGTCGAAACATCTGGGGGTACTTTATAGGGAGTCATTTTTATATTTTATAAAATATACCTGCTATTTACGTTTGGAGAAGAAATTTCTTCAAATAAAAGTTACTTCTAATATTATTCTCTATAATGTTTACCATATCAAAATTTTCCTAAAATGGATCGTATTCGAGAGATTTGAGAAAACGTGTAAATTTCTAATTTTGAAAAAACACCAAATTTTTAATTTGGGCTTCAATCCAACCTGCACTAAAATGATTACATTTTTGGGCATAGTCGGAAAATCTGGGGGTACTTTATACACTGGCGAGCAAAAAATTGAGGTCACCTTAAAATTTTCATGTTCTTTGAAATTTTACGTTTTCGTATCGTATTCGCAAACTGTACATCATTGCATGTGCTTTTGTAAGCTGAATGTGATACTCTATACTAAACAGAAATGTATTTTGTTCTAATACTATTATGTCCTTATCAATATTGACGCTAAAATTATTCGCAATTTCTGAAGTGACTTCAATTTTTTGCTCGCCAGAAGGTCGTTTTTCTACTTCATGGAATATATCTGTTATTTATTTCAATAAAACTTGCTTGTAATGTTATTCTCTATATTATTTGTCATATACATAATTTTCTTAAAATGGTCCGTATTCGAGAAATTTTACAAAAAGTGCAAAATTTTATTTTATTGTTAAACTAAAAGTTGTTTTAATTTTTCGGTATTTTCATTGGCAATGAATATTATATAAAAAATATTTCGAGTAAGATGTATGTGGAAAATGTATATCTTTAGTTTATCATCTAAACATTTACAAAGTGATACTGTAATGTTTGTTTAATTTATTATAGTTTATTTATTTAAAACACTTTATTTACAATTTATATAAAACTTACTAATTAATTTATATAATACGTAGGCACTATTACAACTCACAATTCTAATTTATTTATTACAATTTATCTTTTCTGTCCAACACTTAAACTTAATCTTCCTGTCCGTCGACGAACTCGCGCTATTTATATAAAGCCAGCTCTGTACCAGAACACTCGGCTTTCCAGAACGATCGATAACTGCCTCTCTATGACTCATACGCCGCAAAGGGATCACTCCGGGAGATTCTCAAAGCGGTGCATGTGTCTCTATATGGCCAGCGCTAGACTTCATACCGCGAGAAAGGAGAAAACAAAGTACAGAGACGGCTCCGCGTCACAATAATTTGAAAATTCGGAAACAAATCTCAAAAATCCACTTACGAATTATTAAGACCATCCCCGAACCCCAAAGGTGAAAACAAATACTTGGAGATTTGAAAAAAGGTCATCGCCGGAATTCAAACCCAGACATCTTTGTTCCCTAGACAAATGCCTTTACCGCTAATTTGATGTGCTAATTCGGGACAGCCGCCGTTTCAGGCTCGTTCTCTAATCTTCAAATAACTCTTGTTCGGGGATGGTCTTAATAATTCGTAAGGGGATCAAATTATTCTACAACTTATTTAAGATATTTCTGATTTTTAGGATTTCGATTTTTGATCTATGATATATTAATGTCGCATAAAGCCGACTCTGTTCCCTATTTACCTTACCGCGCCATGGTGTCTGACCTGCTGGCGAAATTGAGACCCGCCTCGAGAAATCGACTTGGTCTCTCTCGCAGTCCGACGCGTGAATGAAGAACCCAGTTCAAACCCCATCCACCTGATACTATGATTGGAGATCACACCTCAAACGCAAACA